CTTTTGCTTTTCCAATGCCTGTCACTTCATTCTAGGAATTTGTTGAAATTGGTGCTTTGGTTTTCAGGTAGCCCCCTGCAATATGCTTTCTGGATTTTAAGAGTCCTTTCTGTTTTCCTCTTTCTTTTTCTTTGTGCTGAATTTAAAGTGCTTGAGCTCAAGACTCTATGTTCTTACTTGGCTCCCTCTTCTCCTAGCACTTTACTACTTGAGCCATACATCTACTTCTAGCTTTTTGGTGGTTAATTGGAGGTAAGGGTCTCACAGACTTTTTCTGCCCAGGCTGGCTTCGAATGTCTATCCTCAAATTTCAGCTTTCTGAGTAGCTAGGATTATAGGTGTGAGTCACTGGTGGTTTGGCCAGGAGTCTGTGTGTGTGTTTCTGTGTGTATGCTGGTCCTGGGGCTTGAACTCAGGGCCTGAGTACAGTCCCTGAGTTTTTTGCTCAAAGCTAATGTTCCATCACTTGAGCCATAGCACTACTTCTGACTATTTTTGGTGATAAAAGATTCACAGATGTTCCTCCTGGTGCTGGCTTTGAACCACAATCCTCAGATCTCATCATCCTGACTAGCTAGCTTTATAGGCTCAAGCCATCATACTCAGCTGAGTCCTTTTTAAATACATCTTATAGTTTTTAGCCATATCTCTGGTTTCCTTTCCTAGGCTTTATGATAAATTTAATACACTTTTTTGCATTTTTTATACTTATATTACTAATGAAGGGGAGAGGATTTCATTGTGAGATTCCTCACTTTTTCAATTTTTTGGGGGGGGGGTCCGGTCATGAGGCCTGAACTCTGGGCCTGAGCGCTGTCCCTCAACTCTTCAGCTCAAGGCTAGCGCTCTACCACTGAGCCACCTTCCCAGCCCCTCCTCACTTTTTTTATAACATATTTCAATCAGTCTAAATCTCTCCCCCATCTCCTTTTTCCTTCCTAAGACAATTTAAACAAGTTTCATTTTATTTGAATTCACGTAAGCAATAATCTACTTTGACCATATTCATCCTCATTCATCCTTAATACACTTATTGCCTATCACTGTTTCCTTTGCTTTGTTATCTTTGGTGGTGTGTGTGTGCTGGTACTGTGGCTTGAACTCAGGGCTCTTGCTCTCACTTGGCTTTTTTATTCAAGATGACATTCTACCGCTTGAGCCATACCACTTGAGCCATTTAATTATCATTATTATTTTTAGTGTTGGGGTTTGAAGCTGGGCCCTTTTGCATGTTAATCACATGCTCTACCACTGAGCAACATCCTTAGTCCTATTTTTTTCCTCTCTGTAGTATTACCAGAAAGGAGCAAAGGTGGTAATCTTTGTTATTGTTGTTTTTGGTTGGTCATGGAGTTTGAACTCTGGGTCTGGGTACAGTCCCTCAGCTCTTCAGATCAAGGTGAGTGCTCTACCACTTGAGCTACAGTATCACTTCCGGTTTTCTGATAATTAATTGGAGATAAGAGTGTCACGGACTTTGCTGACCCGGCTGGCTTTGAACGATCCTCAGATCTCAGTCTCCAGAATAGCTAGGATTACAGACGTGATCCACCAGCGCCCAGCTAAAGGTGGTAATCTTTGTACACTTGAAAATGTCTTTTATTTTCATGTAAGAGGGATCTATTGAGCTGGGCAGGAAAGTCTGTGAGACTTTTATCTCCAATAAACCACCAGAAAACCAGAAGTGGTACTGTGGCTCAAGTGGTAGAATACTAGCCTTGAGCTGAAGGGCTGAGTGACAGCGCCCAGGCCCAGAGTTCAAGCCTCACAACTGACAAAAAAAATGATCTATTGGTCAGTTAGGGAATTTGATGTGCAACATGTTCCTTTTCTTAGAAATTTTGTACAAGCTCAACATCCCTAACCCAATGCTCCAAAATTTGAAACTTAAAGTGTCAGCATGGTGCCACAAATGGAAAATTCCACACTTTGAACTTTGGTCTCATGCACAAAATTACTGAGAATATTATATAAAATTACCTTCAGGTTATGTACATAAGGCCTATGTGTGAAACATAAATTCATCTCTTCAAGGTATCTTATTCTGTATATATGACTATTCAAGAGTCTAAAAATATCCAAATCTGAACTTTTTTTTTTTAATGCTGATACTGGGGTTTGAAATCATGGCATGGTGCTCTTGCTTGATTTTTTTTTACTAAAGGTAGGTGCTCTATTACTTGTGATTAAGAGTCACAGATTTTTGTTCCCAGGCTGGCTTTGAACCATGATCCTCAGATCTAAGCCTCCTGATAGCTAGGACTACAGGTGCGAGCCACCAGCCCCTGGCTAAAATCAGACATATCTGATCCCAAGTATAAAGGGTAAGCGATTCAATTTGTAATGATTTTTCTTTTGTCTTAAGTATTCCAGGTTGTAGCTTTCAGAAGGCTGTTTGCTTTTCTTTTGTTGGAAAGTCTTGCCATGGAAGCTTATAATAAAATTTTTCTTTTTCGATGGAGTTCAGATCTCTAGAGAGGGTGTGAATTTGACTTTTTTTCTCCAAGGTTGCTTTGAACCTTAGTCCTTTCAACTAACCTTCCTGAATAGCTAGCATTACAGATGAGAGCCACTGGCATCCAGTCTTTCTCTCTTTCTGTCTCTCTCTGTCCTGGTCATTGAACCTCAGGCCTTTCACATACTAGTCACATGGCCTGCCACTGAGCATTGTCCCCAGACCAATGTTGTTAATCTTTGTCTTTCTTATCTGAAACCTCATATATGTCTTCATTAATATAAAGGACCTATCATTTAGCAAAATCACTGCTTCTCCATTTGTACCTTTTTATTTTACTGATATTGAGCCTTAAACTCAGGGCCTCATATTCTCTCTCTCTCTCTTTTTTTTTTTTTTTTGGAGGTCATGGGGCCTGTACTCTGGGCCTGGGCATTGTCCCTCAGCTCTTCAGCTCAAGGCTATTGCTCTACCACTTGAGCTACAGCGCCACTTCCTGTTTTCTGGTGGTTTATTGGAGATAAAAGTTTCACCAGCTTTCCTGTCCTTGCTGCGATCTTCAGATCTCAGCCTCCTAAATAGGATTACAGGCCTGAGCCACCTGTGCCTGGCCCTCAAATTCTCCTGATTGGCTTTTTCACTCAAGGTTGGTGCTTTACCACCTGGTCCACACCTCCACTACTAGCATTTTGATGATTAGATTGAGATAAGAGTTGAATGGGCTTTTCTGCCCTGGCTGGCTTTTGACTGGGATCCTTGGATCACCTCCCGAGAACCTAGGATTACAAGCATGAGCTACCAGTGTCTGACTCATTTGTACTTTTTTTTTCTTTTTTGCTAGCACTCTACGACTTGAGCCACAGCACCAATTCTTGTACCTTTAGTTCTTGTTGTTTAGATATAATTAACTTTTCCATGTTTAAATGTTATGTTTTCATTCATAATTGTATTTCTTTGGCTTTATTTATTGATTTTTTTTGGGTCCAGTTGTGGGGCCTGAACTCTGGGCCTGGGCGCTGTCCCTCAGCTCTTCAGCTGAAGGCTAGTGCTCTACCACTTGAGCCACAGCGCCACTTCTGGCTTTTTTTCTTTTTGCTTATGTGGTGCTAGGGAATCGAACCCAGGGCCTCAGGCATGCAAGGCAAGCGCTCTACCACTGAGCCACCTTCCCAGTCCCTTCTTTGGCTTTTTATTCTAAGTAAACTTCCTCTCTTGGTCTTCTAGTGTATTAGTTTACTTAGCAGTGTCTGTTCTGTTTTTTGTTTTTGTTTTTTTACTACATCTATTGCACTTTTATTCAGTATCAATTTTGGGGTCTTTTATTTCCTCAGACCATACTGTACACATTCAGAATAACTTGTGTAGTAACAGACTATAGACATGATCCCTGAAAGTACAGCTGTAATTTTTGGGGAATCTTCCACAGTTAAAGTATCTTCTTGAATTTCCTCAAGGATTTGTCACAATATTTAAGTTCTGTTTTCTATATTAACTTAGCATCAGTGTGAGCTACCCAATGTGTTTGTGCAGCCTGCTTTGTGTGTGTGTGTGTATTTGAAACTGCTCTTGTATTTGTTGTGTGTATTCTGAGCTTCTATAACTGCCCGCCCCCCCAGGAATTTAGCCCCTTGAAAGTGGGGAGAATTAAGGGAAACTGTTCTTCTCCTCAGAGGCCAGCTGTGAAGGGCATGACAGATGGGACTTTGAAGCCAGGAGAGGCCTCTTAAGTTCCTGGGCTTTGTTAAGGCATGATGGTATCTGAGGGAGGCAGCCGTTGAGCTGAGTAGGTCGTATGCTGTTGGAGGCAGTAAACTGAAACAGGTTCAACAGCAAGGGATTGTTCTTTCATGTGTGTGTGTGTGTGTGTGTGTGTGTGTGTGTGTGTGTGTGTGTAACAATTATATATACTATATTAACTTATACTGGTATGTATTAATACATAATAGGCAGTATAGCTACAATTATGCATATGAAATTATATCGATATATAATTATATCGATATAATTTTATATATGTATATCTCTAAGTATTTGTACAAAGGAGTTGCCATTCCATGAAGTAGTATATAAATACACTCCATCTTAATCAGTGTCACCCTTTTCATCATTCTCCCCCATCCCTCCCAACCCACCCCTTCCTTCAAGGGATAATTCTTTCTGCACAAGCTGAGGTTTATCCCCAAGGTTTAGCTTCCTAGGATTTTGCACATCACCCTTCTGTTGCTGCTAGCTCCCTTACGTCATCTCTAGCCCTGAAACTGTTGAGATGCTGTAAGTAGACATTTGGGGCTCAGGGTGGAGCAGGAGACCCAAGCACTTATTCAGGCTACTCTGTAGAATTCTCTTCTGAATTGTTTGCATTTGCTTTGGAATAACTCTGTAAACATAAATATGAAGTACTTCCATTTGTGTCTCTTGTCTTGTGTTTGATACAGACAGACATGGTGTTTGAGGCATCCTAGGTTCTCATGGTGTGTCTTGACCTTGATTAGGTTGTTAGCACACATTGGATAGGTAGATGATGACTCTTTGTTTTATTTTGCAGAAAATAAAAAGCCAGGTAAAGGGTCCAAAGTCTGTAAGAAGGTAAGTTGGCTCTACCTTCAGGTGATGTATGCCTATTCCTGGGGGACAGGACAGCAGATATGACTCTGGGAAGAATACCATATTAGAATGAACACAGCTGACTTTTTGGTGGGGGGCAGCAGAAAGTCAGCAGCATGTATTAAATTTTTTTTTTTTGCCAGTCATGGTGCCTGAACTCTGGGCCTGGGCACTGTCCCTCAGCTCTTCAGCTCAAGGCTAGTGCTCTACCACTTGAGCCACAGCACCACTTCCAGCTTTTTCTGCTTATGTGGTGCTAAGGAATCGAACCCAGGGCCTCATGATGCAAGGCAAACACTCTACCACTGAGCCACCTTCCCAGCCCCATGTATTAAGTTTTTGCCATACACATACACATACTGCTTTGTGCTTGATTTAACTTGGTAGGGACTTTTTTTATTTTAGTACTGGGGCTTGAACTCAGGGTCTGAGAACTTTCCCTTAGATTTTTTTCACTTAAGGCTGGTGCTCTGCTACTTGAGCCACAGCTCCATTTCTGGCTTTCTGCTGGTTAATTGGAGATAAGAGTTTCATAAACTTCCCTGCCTGGGCTGGCTTTGAGACATGATCCTCATATTTCAGCCTCCTGATTGCAGGTGTGGGCCACTGGCACCCAGCTGGTAGGGATTATCATCATCCTTATTTTTATTTTCTTTGCTGGAGATGGAATCCAGGCTTTGAACCGTGATCCTCAGATTTCAGCCTCCTGAGTAGCTAGGATTACAGGCATGAGCCACCAGTGCCCAGCTACAGCGATAATTTTTATTTCTTTTTTCTTTTTTATTTTTTTGGTTGGTCATGGGGCGTGAACTCTTGGCCTGGGCTCTGTCCCTCAGCTCTTCAACTCAAGGCTAGCGCTCTACCACTTGAGCCACAGCACCACTTCCAGCTTTTTCTGCTTATGTGGGGCTGAGAAATTGAACCCAGGGCTCCATGCATGCAAGGCAAACACTCTATCACTGAGCCACCTTCCCAGCCCTGATAATTTTTTTTTTCTTTTTTGGTCCGGTTGTGGGGCCTGAACTCTGGGCCTGAACACTGTCCCTCAGCTCTTCAGCTCAAGGCTAGTGCCCTACCACTTGAGCCATAGCACCACTTCCGGCTTTTTTCTTTTTGCTTATGTGGTTTTGAGGAATCGAACCCAGGGCCTCAGGCATGCAAGGCAAGCGCTCTACCACTGAGCCAACTTCCCAGCCCCGCCCTGATAATTTTTATTTCTAACAAGTTTCCAATGTGTCCAAAGACCACATTTCAGGATCTATGTGTCAAGAAAGTATTTCCTGTCTCTCTGAAGCTTTCTCAGCCACCCTTGCATCCTGCCCTTCCCCTCCATGTGCCCCCCACCCTTTCCTGGACTCTTTAGTCAGGTCCTACTTGGCTGGGGAGAACAGGCCTCTCTCTCCCTAGGACAGACAGCAGGGCCATTTTTGTCCACTCCTTCCTTCCCCTCTTCCCCCACAACTATACTTCTCTGGCAGCTTTAATCCCTGCTCTTTTGGCTCTAGGGAGATTTCCACAGGTTTATCAGCTCTGTTTGCTTTTCTTCTCTTGCATGGTAACCAGCCTGCAAAGCAAAATGGGAAGAAAGCAACCTCCAGAGGGTCCTCAGCCTTCCAGATTGTTCATGGCAATGATCACACCAGTCGGGAGGCTGAGTTAAAGAAGAAGAGGGTAAGCCTTTTACTTTGGAAGCTGGGGAGGCTAGTTTGAATGCCAGGTCTGCAGAAGTGTTTGCTAGAAGAGTAGAGGCCAGAGTTGCTAGGATACTGGAGGCTCTTTGTGAATGGTTGAAGTGAGGGGTGTCAGCTTGATACTGGATTTAAGGGTCTCCATTTTGGGACATTTCCTCTCCCTTCCTCATTCATTGCATTGGATTATGCTTTCTTTGAGGCATAATTTTTAACTTTGTCATCTCATGCTCTTTTACCAACCTTTTCTAGTCTCTTTTGCCGTTCTTTCCTCTTCCTGTTTTTGCTTATTTGTTGAGGCAGTGCCTCATTATGTTGTTTAGTCAGGCCTTAAATTCTGGGCTCTAAGAATCCTTCTTACTCAGCCTCCTGAGTAACTGGGACTACAAATGTGCACAACTACACCTGGCTTCCTCTTTCTGCTTTCAGAATGATGGCACATTCCAGGACCTTGGCTCTTTTTATGCATCTGATACTAAGTAGTTCCCTCTGCCTATAATACATTCTCTCCATGCTTTATATACCACCCCCTATTTTTTGTGCTGGTACCGTGGCTGGAACTCAGTGCTTTTTTTGCTTGGCTTTTTTGCTCAAGGCAGACTTTACAATTTGAACCACACTTCTACTTCTGACTTTTCTTTTTGGTGCTGATCCTGGGGCTTGAACTTATTGTCCCTAAGTTTCTTTTGCTCAGGGCTAACATTCTGCCACCTGAGCCTCTGCTCCACTTCCAGCTTATTTTTTTGTAATTTTAGTGGAGAGAAGAGTCTCACAGACTTTCCTGCCTGGGCTGGCTTGGAACTGTGATCCTCAGCTCTCAGTTTCCTGAGTAGCTAGAGTACAGGCGTGAGCCACTAATGCCGAACTCAAATAGCTTTACACACACACACACACACACATTTTTTTCCCTCTTTGCTACTCTCCATCACTTCATCTGTCTGGCCTTTTCTTCTCAAATACTATCTTCTACTGTCCTGCTTGCTCCCCTCCCACCTTTGCTTTGTCCATGCCGTTTCTTCCACCTGTTACCCATCCCTTCTGCTGCAGACCCAGTGAGCTATAGTCGCAGTATGTTTACTTGTTAGGTTGAGGAGATGAGGGAGAAGCAGCAAGCAGCCCGGGAGCAAGAGAGACAGAGACACAGAACCATGGAGAGCTACTGTCAGGATGTCCTGAAACGCCAGGAGGAGTTTGAACGCAAGGTAAGAACAGCCTTTGGCCCTGGGTGGGAATGAATAGTGTGGGTTTACTGTTCCACTGAAGGAAAAGGAAGGTTGGTGTGGGGAGGCGGGGGAGAATGAGTGAAGAGAGGAAAGAAATCAGGGGGATCAGAGGAGGGAGGATGAGAGGGAGTCTTACTCATGACAGCACATTCCTGGAGAATGCTTTTCTCACATTTGAACCCCAAAGACTGGAAAGTGGGTGGGAGAAGGGGGGCAGGAGAGCATGAAAGGATTGAGAGAGAGGCCTGTGTGAGGGTTTCAACTTCCTTCTGGGCCTTCTTGCTGCCTGCTGGCATCTGTTCTTGTCTTACACATAGAATATGCACCTGCCAGCTCAGGCTTGCTCCTCTGAATTCCAGTACAGATTTTGACTCCCCCGTCCCATGCTTGCCATAGATTGTTTTTCTCACAACTCTTCTGTCACATCCCTCTCTTACATATAGGCCTGGGCACACTCAGCCTCTCCTCTGGCTGATGCTCGAATCTGCACATGCATACACACTGGCACATGCCAGAACCATGTATGTCTGTGTACACTTGTTCCTCTTCTCAACATTTTTGATTCATCAAAATTACTTTTAGGTGGGCTGAGACTTAATGGCTTTCCCAGCCTTCTGTGCTTTTCAAAGCCAGGTTTTGCTCACTTTGTGTTTCTCTAATCTTTCTCTCTCCCTCTCCTTCTCCCTTTCTCTTCCTGCTCTCCCCCTTCCTCTTTCCCCTCACCCTCTCCCCCTTCCTCTCCTTCTCACTTTCCCTCACCCCTGCTCTCTTCTTCTCCCTCCTCCCTCCCCCTTTCTCTCCTTCTTGCTCCATCTCCCCCCTCCCCTCCTTTACCCTCTCCTCCTGTTCCCACTCTCCTGACCCCACCCCCATTTTCTCCTTTCTCTTTTTTTCTCCTTTAGGAGGAAGTTTTGCAGGAATTAAATATGTTTCCTCAGCTGGATGATGAAGCAACACGAAAGGCTTATTACAAGGAATTCCGTAAGGTACAGGGACCCATTCCTTAAGGTCCTTTCCTTCCTTCCTTCCTTCCTTCCTTCCTTCCTTCCTTCCTTCCTTCCTTCCTCCCTCCCTCCCTCCTTCCCTCTTTCTCTCTCTCTCTTTCTCTCTCTCTCTTTCTCTCTCTCTTTCTCTCTCTTTCTTTCTTTCTTTCTTTCTTTCTTTCTTTCTTTCTTTCTTTCTTTCTTTCTTTCTTTCTTTCTTTCTTTCTTTCTTTCTTTCTTTCTTTCTTTCTTTCTTTCTTTCTTTCTTTCTTTCTTTCTTCTGTGCTAGCACTTAGGTTTGAATCCAAGGCCTGGGTGCTGTCCTTTAGCTTTTTCAGCTCAAGGCTGGCACTCTGCCACTTGAGCCATACTTCCACTTTTGGCTTTTCTTTGCCAGGTCTGGGACTTGAACTCAGGACCTGGGCACTGTTCCTGAGCTGTTTTTTGCTCAAGGCTAGCACTCTATCATTTGAGCCACAGTACCACTTCTGGCTTTTTCTGTTTATGTTATGTGGTACTGAGGAATTGAACCCAGGGCTTTATGCATGCTAGGCAAGCACTCTACCACTAAGCCACATTCCCAGCCCCAACTTCTGGCTTTTTGGTGGTTAATTGGAATTAAGAGTCTCACAGACTTTTCTGTCCTGGCTGGCTTTGAACAGTGATCCTCAGCTCTTAATTTCTGAGTAGCTAAGATTGTAGGCCTGAGCCAGCAGTGCCTGGCCCAATCAATTTTCTTTTTTTTTTTATTTAATTTAATTTTATTTGTGAACATACTGTACAGAGGAGTTACAGTTACATGGGCAGGATAATTCAATTTTCATTTCTTCTTCATTTCTGTTTTTTTCCCCTGACTGACCTTTTCCCCTTGATGACCTTTTCTTAGATGGGCTCAAGTGCTTGCTACATAGTCTGTTTCCTATCTTCTGCCTCTCTCCTATTCTTTGGCCTGCAGGTGGTAGAATACTCTGATGTGATTCTGGAAGTCCTGGATGCCAGAGACCCATTAGGCTGCCGGTGTTTCCAAATGGAGGAGACTGTCCTGCGGGCAGAAGGCAACAAGAAGCTTGTCTTGGTCTTGAACAAAATTGGTAGGTGTTGGGGCAGGATTGGGTAAGTTAAGGAAGAGATTAGACCTTCTTGAAAGACTAGCTTGGACCAGATAGTAAGGCCCAGCAACTTGAGGGTCCTAATTACACAAGGTAAGAATTCTTGTTTGAGTTTTCAAAGGCAGGAATGTAATCTGAAGACACACAGATTGTAGCACAAAAGGAGGACGGAGCTCAAACCTATTTTCTTTTTGGGCTCCTTTTCTTGATATTTTGAGCCATTCTGCAATTGCACAGTCAAAAAGAATACCCTTCCCCCAAACTGGAGACCAAAATTAAGGCAGAAAAGCATATGGGCTTGAAGGAGTCACTGAGGTTTGGGTCTCAGTCCACCTCTGCTATTCTCTTTGAGCTATTGGACAAGTCATGTCACTTCAAAGAGCTTCTAGTTCTGTAACTATGAAATGAACCATGAATGTCTGAGCCTTAGAGGTTTGTTGAATTAATGATAAAGTGCTTGGTACACAAAGCAGTTCATCAATGATAGCCATTCTTGTGATGATCTTGTGATTGTCTTTATTTATTTATTTTTGTGCTAGTCCTGGGGCTTGAACTCTGGGTCTGAGCACTGTTCCTAAGCCTTTTTTGCTCAAAGCTGATGTTCTGTCACTGAACCACAGCTCTATTTCCAGCTTTTTGGTAGTTAATTGGAGATAGAAGTCTCACAGAACTTTCCTGCCTGGGCTGGCTTTGAACAGAGATTCTCAGATCTCAGGCTCCTAAGTATCTAGGATTAGATACATGAACCATCAGTACCCAAATGTCTTGTCTTTTTTTTTGTGTGCTAGTATTATGGTTTGAATTCAGGCCCTCACACTTTTGCTTGGCTTTTTTGCTCACGGCTTGTGCTCTTATCACTTGAGTCATACTTCCACTTCTGGCTCTTTGATGATTAATTGGTCATAAGAATCTCATGGAGAGGCTGGGAATGTGGTAAGCATGCTTGCCTCACATGCATGATGCCCTGGGTTTGACTCCCCTGTACCACATAGACAGAAAAAGAAAAGCAGGAAGTGGCGCTGTGGCTCAAGTGTTAGAGTACTAGGAAGGTGGCTCAGTGGTAGAGTGCTTGCCTTGTATGCATGAGGCCCTGGGTTCAATTCCTCACCACATAAGCAGAAAAAGTCAGAAGTGGCGCTGTGGTTCAAGTGGTAGAGCGCTAGCCTTGAGCTGAAGAGCTGAAAGACAGCGCCCAGGCTCAGAGTTTAAGCCCCATGACTGACCAAAAAAAAAAAAAAAAGCTCAGTGACAGTGCCCAGGCTCAGAGTTCAAGCCCCATGACTGACCAAAAAAAAAAAAACTCAGTGACAGTGCCCAGGCCCTGAGTTCAAGCCCCAGGACTGGCCCCTCCAAAAAAGAACCTCATGGATTTTTTCTGCTTGAGTTGGCTTTGAACCTTGATCCTCAGATCTCAGCCTCCTAAAGAGTTAGGATTTTACAGACCAGAGCAATACATATCTGACTTATCTCTTCCCTCGCTTTTTTTTTTTTTTTGGTTCTGGTCGTGGGGCCTGAACTCTGGGCCTGGGTGCTGTCCCTCAGCTCTTCAGCTCAAGGCTAGCGCTCTACCACTTGAGCCACAGCACCACTTCCGGCTTTTTTCTTTTTGCTTATGTGGTGCTGAGGAATCGAACCCAGGGCCTCATGCTTGCAAGGCAAGCGCTCTACCACTGAGCCACCTTCTCAGCCCTTCCCTTGCTTTTTTGTTAAATGTGTTAATATGCACAATACAATTTTGTGTGAGTAAATTAAATTTAGCTCTGGATGAGAGTGACTCATGCCTGTGATGCTAACTACTTAGGAGGTTGAGATCTGAGGATTGCAATTCAAAGTCAGCCTGGAAAGACAAACTCAAGAGATTCCTATCAGTTAACCACCAAAAAGTTGGAAGTGGCATTATGGCTCAAGTGGTAGAGCACTAGCCTTGAGCACAAAAGTTTAGGGCCAGTGGCCAGGCCCTAATTCAAGCCCTAGGAGTGGCACAAAAATCATTCAAATTCAATCTAGATACTATAATGAAATGAACAAACATTTGTCGACAACTTAATTGCTAAAATAAGACACGAATTCACAAAAATATAGCAAACTTTACCAGCACCACCAAAAATTTTTCACCCTGTGATCCAGGTGAAACAAAATAGGTAGAGTCAGTTGGCTTTCAGGATGAGTTTGCTGATCTGTCATGGTACCACTGGATCTCCTCTCAAGGAAATGCAGGTGCTAACTTAGACTCACAGAACTCATGAAAAGTACCAAGAGAATAAAATAGGAAGGTGCATGTTGGTTGTTTGCACGGAGTAACATTACTGTCAAAACAGCCAGTGCCTTGTTGTCACCCTTATCAGAAGTTTTTCTTATGAACAAATATTTAGAAAATTGAAATGATTAAAATCAAAGGAGAGAAAGTCAAATGATTAAAGTCAGTAAAGAGCATTACTGTCCTGACATGTCATTTCTTTAAAGGTATTTTAATGTCTTTAGGTTTGGTAGGAAAACTAGAATGCAAAGGCAATTGACTACATGGCAATTCCTAGAAAGATGTTGCAATTTGACATTTTGTAAGACTCTGAATTTTCATTTCTAGCATGCAAAAGTATGCATTGCTGCTGACATAATTGCCCATTACAGTCCTTTTTTTTTTTTTTTGTCGGTTGTGGGGCTTGAACTCTGGGCCTGAGTGCTGTCCCTCAGCTCTTCAGCTCAAGGCGAGCGCTCTACCACTTGAGCTACAGCGCCACTTCCGGTTTTCTGGTGGTTTATTGGAGATAGGAGTCTCACGGTCTCTCCTGCCCGGGCTGGCTTTGAACCGCGATCCTCAGATCTCAGCCTCCTGAGTAGCTAGGATTACAGGCGTGAGCCACCAGCGCCCGGCTTTACAATCCTATAATTATCAAACATCATGTGATCAAACATATGCTTCTATGTCAGAAATGAATTAGTGATTTGAGTCCTATATCTAGAAATCATTAACTGGAAGATTTTGGATACATTTATTAACCTCTCTGAATGTTAGGCTTTTTTTTTAAGGTACTAGGATTTGAATTTATGGGCTTGCTTTTGTAGGTAAGTGCTCTTATCATTTTTCAGGCTCCAGACCAAGTGTTAATTTTACTATTTGTGTGGTCTTTTTTGTGCCAGTACTGGGGCTTTAATTCATGGCCTGGGTGCCCTCCTTTAGCTTTTTTTGCTCAAGGCTAGTGCTCTACCACTTAGGCCACAGCTTCACTTCAGGTTTTTGGGTTTTGGGTTTGTTTTTTTTTGTTCAGTCATAAGGCCTCAGCTCTTTAGTGCAAGCAAGGCTAGTGCTCTACCACTTGAGCCACAGAGCGACTTCTAGTTTTCTGGTGGTTAATTGGAGATAAGAGTCTCATGGACTTTCCTGCTCAGGCTGGCTTTGAACCGCAATCCTCAGATCTCAGCCTCCTGAGTAGCTAGGATTACAAGTGTGAGTCACTGGCACCTGCTATTTTTTTGCCAGTCCTGGGGCTTGAATTCAGGGCCTGGGCACTGTCCCTGAGCTGCTTTTTGCTCAAGGCTAATAATACTCTACCACTTGAACCACACACAGTACCACTTGTGGCTATTTCTGTTTATTTGGTACTGGTGAATGGAACCAAGGCTTCATGCATGCTAGGAAAGCACTCTACCATTAAGCCACATTCCTAGCCTACAGGTTTTTTTTTTTAAAGTGATCAGTTAGAGATAAGTCTCTCATGGACTTTTCCTCTTTGGCCTGGCTTTTAGCCTCCATTCTCAGATCTCAGTTCCTTAGTAGTGAGGATTACAGATGTAAACCATCAGAACCTGCTTTATACTTGTGCTTTTTTCATATTTTTGATTAATATATGTTGTTTACAAAGGAATTTCACTGTGATATTTGCATATAAGGGTATAGTGTACCTCAATCAAATGTACTTTTCCTATATTCTCTCTGTCCTCCTTAAAACAAGTCCAACAGGTTTCATTGTTCAGTTTTCACACTTGTGTGTAAAATACTTCAATCATGTTTATCTCCCCCATATCCTCTCCTTTGATCCTTCCCCCTTCCAGCTGGTACCTAATCCCAAACAATTTGTTTTACATACCTATCATTCATGGAGAGAGCTTTGATATTTGCCTTTCTCAGTCTGTCTTACTGCATTTAACATAATAATCTCTAGTTCCATTGTAGTTTATTCTTTTTTTTTTGTCAGTTGTGGGCTTGAACTCTGGGCCTGGGCGCTGTCCCTCAGCTCTTCAGCTCAAGGCGAGCGCTCTACCACTTGAGCTACAGCGCCACTTCCAGTTTTCTGGTGGTTTATTGGAGATAGGAGTCTCACGGTCTCTCCTGCCCGGGCTGGCTTTGAACCGTGATCCTCAGATCTCAGCCTCCTGAGTAGCTAGGATTACAGGCGTGAGCCACCAGCGCCCAGCTGTAGTTTATTCTTGACATGTGACCAAGCATAGATCCAGAGAGAGGATGGGAAATGCAATCTTTGGGAGGTCTCTGAAATCCTGACTTGGAAGGCTGATATCTAGGACCAAATAGTTTGTGCATTTTCCTTGAGGGAATATACCCTCATTAGGAAAGGTCAGCTGGTCTCATAGAGCAGACTGTACCATGTAGCTCAAACCTGAAGACTGGACCGAGACTGACAGGGCTAGTGGAATAACTATTGCTGGGAGGTAAGAATAGCCTTGGGTATGAGTGAGTGAATTTCTGGAATGAGCCATGGAAATGATGTCCTCCTTATATAGTCCCATCTGTTCTTGTCTTTCCCAGATCTGGTTCCCAAGGAAGTTGTGGAGAAGTGGCTGGATTACCTTCGCAATGAGCTGCCAACTGTAGCTTTCAAGGCTAGCACCCAGCATCAGGTCAAAAATCTGGTAAGCCTGGGGTCAAGGGCATCTAGCCTTCTTCATTATAGTCTGAGGCCAGGGTTGGAGAGTTAATTTATCACTTGGACTGAGCCCTCCAAACTTTCAGTGATTGAATTGGGCTTTCAACTTTTGAGGGTTTGCTTTACTGAGTGGCTTTTTTTATGGCCAGTCTTGGGGCTTGAACTCAGGGCCTGGGAACTGTCCCTGAGCTTCTTTTTTGGTCAAGGCTAGCAGTCTACTACTTGAGCAATAGTGCCACTTCTGGCTTTTTCTGTGTTTGTGGTACTCAGGAATTGAACTCAGGGTTTCATGCATGCTTGGCAAGTACTCTACCACTAAGCCACATTCCCAGCCCTGAGTGGCTTCTTTTTATTTTTGGGGGGCTTGAACTCTGAGTCTGGGTGCTGCCTCTGAGCTCTTCAGCTTAAGGCAAGCATTCTACCACTTGAACCACAGCGCCAATTCTATTTTCTGGTGATTAATTGGAGATAAGAGTCTCAGCAACTTTCCTGCCCAGGCTGGCTTTGAATTGCCATCCTCAGATCTCGGCCTCCTGAATAGCTAGGATTACAGGAGTGGTCCACCAGTGCCTGGCTCCTGAGTGGCTTCTTAATTGTAGTTTCATTTTGTTCCTTGAATTGCTCTTCAGGACATATGTTTTTGGTTTTTGGTTTTCTTTTTAGCTGTAAGGTTAATAAATCCTATCTGCAGATTTGGAAAATACAGTTTAACTGCTTGTTAGCTTTTTTTTTTTTTTTGCTTGTTAGCTTTTGAAAACAATATTTACTTGCATTAATTTTTCTCTCTAAACAAGTCATAGCTGCTGGGTGCCAGTGGCTCATGCCTATAATCTTAGCTACTCAGAGATTGAGATCTGAAGATGGCCATTTAAGCCAACCCAGGCAGTTTGTAGTCAGCCTGGACAGGGATGTTCAATAGATACGATCTCCAAAATAACCAGCAAGAAGCAGGGCTGGTGGGGTGGCTTAACTGCTAAAGTGTCAGTCTAACAATCACAAGGGCATGGGTTCAGAGACCCTAGTATAAAAAAGATGCATTGTATGCATAAATGGCAAAAGGAATTCAATACCTAAAAAATTAAGAAGAATGAGGTGTGTTGGGAACGGTGGATGAGAATGTTGAAAGGGATGACATTGATCTAGGCACAGAATTGCTTTGTTGAATGGCACTTTCTTTTGTACAGCTATTTAAAGATAATAAAAACATTAAAAAATTATAGTACTTCCTAATGGTATTATTAATATAGAGATATTTTCCAGTAGGATGCAGTCTCAGTGGTAATAGCTCCTGCCTAACAATTGCAAGACCCTGAGTTCTAACTATGGTACTTAAAAAAATCTATGTGAACTATACCTTAGTTTCTAGTTTCCAGTTTTTCTTATTGATTGGGTTGATTTTGCTCATATGGGGGGCTTGAACTATAGGCCTCTTACTCAGTTTTTTCTGCCCAGAGTTGGTGCTTTATCCATTTGCACCACACTATCACTTCTCTTTTTTTCTGGTTAGATAAAAGAGTCTCCCAGATTTGTCTGCCCTGGTTGGCTTCAAACCTTGATTCTCAGATATCAGCTAGTATCTTGAGCCACTGGTTCCTGGCTCAGTTTCTCATTATTATAACCAGTGTATCCACAGATGCTATTGTGGATGGCTCCTTGGTATGTATGTGAACAGATACTGGTTTAGGAATGGAGTGGCAGACACTGACAATTGCTCTTCATAATGGCTATACAATTTAGCCTTCTTCCAGTGGGACAAATGAATGTGTTGAGACAGTCTCTTTACATCCTTGCCAATACTTGACGGCATTTAACATTTTTTCCTGTAGACACACCCAATTTTATTACCAGTGGCATGTGATTGATTTCCTCTCAACATTTTCCAAACTGAAATCCTATATTAATAGGACCAGTCTACATTGAATTTATTTAGATAGCATTACTGTTTAAACCTTTGAGAAACATGATATCTCATTTATAAATGTTTGATCTTCTTTCTGCAGTGGTGGGGATAATAAACACATGGCCTTTGTACTTGCTAGGCAAGTGTTCTGTCTCTGAATTTCAAATACCACCTTAATTTAGGTCCTTTTTGGTGATAAAGATAAAAACATCCTTTTTTGTTTTTGTTTCTTTTTTAACTTTTTATTTTTGATTTTTGGGTCCGGTCGTGGGGCCTGAGCTCTGGGCCTGGGTGCTATCCCTCAGCTCTTCAGCTCAAGGCTAGCACTCTACCACTTGAGCCACAGCACCACTTCTGGCTTTTTTTTTTCTGCTTATGTGGTGCTGAGGAATTGAACCCAGGGCCTCATGCATACAAGGCAAGTGCTCTACCACTGAGCCACCTTCCCAGCCCCCTTTTTTAACTTTTTAAATTATTATTAAATAGTTGTACAAAGACGTTTTAGTACCACAAGTCAGTTATGAGTACAATGCTTCTTGCCAAGGTCACCCCTTCTTTTGTTCTCTCCCATTTACACCCTTTTGTCCCTACTTACATGTTACCTAGTTTGAATATAATGACTGCATTTGTTTACCCTTCCTCCCTCCATTCTTGTGCTCCCCCTTTGTCCCCTAAACATCTTTGAATCACTCCTTTCTCTTTGTATTCTATCTTAAGTGTATGCCTTTTTTTGGATAGTAAAAGGGTTTGAACTCAGGAGCTCATACTTATAAAGAAAGGACTCTACTGCTGAGCCATGCATCTAGCTAGCCCTGTTTTTCACTGGTTATTTTTATTTGGGTCCGGTCGTGGGGCCTGAATTCTGGGCCTGGGTGCTGACCCTCAGCTCTTCAGCTCAAGGCTAACGCTCGACCACTTGAGCCACAGCGCCACTTCCGGCTTTTTTCTTTTTGCTTATGTGGTGCTGAGGAATCGAACCCAGGGCCTCATGCATGCCAGGCAAGTGCTCTACCACTGAGCCACCTTCCCATCCCCTTCACTGGTTATTTTTAAGAAAAGGTCTCACTTCCTGGCTGGGTACATACCTAGGCTGTGTTCTGCCTAGACTTCCCATGGTTGCTGCAATGGCTAGCGCATGTCATTACATTAAACTTTGCTCCATTCAAATGGAGTCTCACAGACTTTTTTGCCTATGTTGTTTTCTCACTTTATGTTTTTAGCTGGTCCTGGGGTTTGGGCAGTCCTTGAGCTTTTGCTCCAGGCTAGTGGTCTACCACTTGAGCCACAGTGCCACTTCTGGCCTTTTCTGAGTAGTTTATTGGAGATAAGAGTGTCAAGGACTTTCTTGCCCGGGCTGACTTCAAACTGTGATCCTCAGATCTCAGCCTCTTGAGAAGCTAGGATTACAAGCATGAGCCACCAGCCCTAGAATCTTGATACTTCCAATCTCAGCCTCCTACAACCTTATAATGACAAGCACATAGCACTGTGCTCAGCTAAATGTTTGCCTTTTTAAGTGAATCTCAATTTTGTGATATTAAAAACAGTGCTGTGGTAAGTAGGGGAAGTGAAAGAGGATGAAGGGCATTCTGGGAAGAAGAGATGGCATCAGGAATAGAAATAGAGGTTGGAGTGACTGTAGTCCAGGCACCATCTTACCTTACACCAGCAGAAAGAGGAACATCACTGAGAGCACTGAGCAACTTATGCAACTTACGCAATTTATGCATATGCCCTGTAAGAAGTAAGGCTGGGAGGTAAGGTTGGGGAAGGGGGCTGGGAAGGTGGCTCAGTGGTAGAGCGCTTGCCTTTCATGCATGAGGCCCTGGGTTCGATTCCTCAGCACCACATAAGCAAAAAGAAAAAAGCCAGAAGTGGCGCTGTGGCTCAAGTGGTAGAGCGCTAGCCTTGAGCTGAAGAGCTGAGGGACAGCACCTAGGCCCAGAGTTCAGGCCCCACGACCGGACCCCCCCTCCCCCAAAAAAAGAGAAATGTCCTCATTTACCTGACTTATGCAACTGTAACCTGTCTGTATATCACCTTTATAATAACAATAAAATTATGTTTTTAAGGAAGGAAGGGAGGAGAGGGGAAATGTGTGAAGCAGGAGAAGGGAAGAGAGGAAACTGGAGACAGAAGGACAGTGGAGGGAAATGTAGAAGCAGTATCCAGTGCCATGTGAGAAGCCTTCTGTTCAAGCTGTGGAGCTCAGTGATCACAGGAGGGTCCTCTGTGTTTCTTTTGTAGGTTAGAAATTTGGGTTTTCTGATGGGCTTCTCACACCTGATGCTGTTCTATGTTATCCTTTGTCTTCCAGAACCAGTGCAGTGTGCCAGTGGCTCAGGCCTCTGAGTCACTGCTGAAGAGCAAAGCCTGCTTTGGAGCTGAAAACCTCATGAGGGTTCTGGGGAACTATTGTCGCCTGGGTGAAGTGCGCACCCACATCCGTGTGGGTGTTGTGGGTAAGGCTTGGTGAAATAGTCATGGAACCTGGGCTCCTTCTGTGTTCCCTCTGTTCCCTCTTTGAGGAATAGAGTGGTTCAGGAAGGTTATGGAGATTTATAGTTTGGGTAGGTGGGCATATGGGAGGCACTCTTTTTGTTTTTCGTTTATCATGGGGCTTGAGCTCTGGGCCTGGGTATTCCTGTACCTGAGCTTTTTTGCTCAAGGCTAAGGCTCTACCCCTCTGAGCCACAGCGCCACTTCTGATTTTCTGGTGGTTAATTGGAGATAAGAGTCTCTTGGTCTTTCCTGCCTGGGCTGGCTTTGAGCTGTGATCCTCAGATTTCCGCCTCCTGAGTACGTAGGATTACAGGCATAAGTCACCAATGCCTGGCTGGGAGGCACTCCCATTATATGTAGAGTGTTAGAGCCATGGACCAATCGTGTGGTGTCAGGCTTGGGGGTTGCCCCATCTCCTCCTGTCAGAGCTGTGAGAAGGAATCCTGACCATCTGTCTTTTTATAGATGAGAACACTGATGCCCAGAGAAGGGAAAAAGAACTTGCAGAACTTAGCCCTGTGTAAGACAAAGCAAAGCCAGGGCTCAAATCCTTAATTTTGCAAGAGGGCTCATCAGAACAAACACAAATAGAGAGGCAGAGACAGTTGATCAGGGAAAGTAATGCTGAGAGATACATTGGAGAGTTGGACACTGACAATGTATAGATTCTGCTAGACACTGGGGAAGTCAGAAAAATACTGCATGCTGGAGAATGAGAAAAAGAGAGACAAACACAACCTCAAATGCCAAAAGGGACACTGAAACATATTTATGTATGGAGACCTGCAGAGGGGATGTGAGAAGGGTAGAGTATGTGGATGTATGGACATGAATACCCGAAGAAAAGACTCCTAGCCATAGGGATGGGGACAGATTCAGAGACACCCCTAGACACGGGAACCTAAGTATGTTTATTTACATCCCCGTATGTGGAGTCACACATAGACTTGGAAGAGGTGCATCTAGAGATACAGATAGAGGCAAAATACATACCAGAATTTCCCCTCCTCATCTCAGCTCTGCTTCCCAAAGCAAAAAAAAAAAAAAGCCGCAGGGAGATATACCTATGACCCTCTGACACAACCCCAAGTCACAGAGAGAGACAGATATGCAGGCATGTCTGTGATGAGATAGATAAATACCTACATAGAGAGCTTGAGACAGAGAGGGAAAGGGAGACATAAAAAAGAAGGAAAAGGGGTTGGAGGTGTCGCTTAGTTGGTAGAGTGCTAGCCATTGAATAAAAGCATCAGGTACTAAGTTTGAGTTCTAGCCTCAGACCAATAAAAACAGGAGGAAAAGAAGCTGAGCATTGATGGGCTATGTTTATCATTCTAGCTACTCAGGTGGCTAAGATCTGAGGATCAAGGTTCAAAGCCAGCTTGGGCAAGAAAGTTCATGAGACCCTTATCTCCAGTTAAGTATCAAAAAGCTAAAAGTGAAGGCATGGCTGAAGTGGTAAAGTGCCAGCTTTGAGTGAAAAATCCAAGTGAGAGATCAAGGCCCTGAGTTGAAGCCAAGTACTGGTGCATGTATGCATGCATGTGTGCGCACATGCGTACATACGCAAACACACACACACGAAATAGAGGAAAAGAGCCTATTTGAAACAAGCTCAGAGGCCAATGCATGGAGACAGGCTGCAGAGAGGAGGAATGGGTCTAAAAAGACACTGACAAGAGTTAGTATTAGAGGGAATTACAAAGAGAGGCAGAATTGATGGAATGGAAGCCAGGCATCTGTGGCTCACACCTATAATTCTAGGTACTCAAGAGGCTGAGATATGAAGATCACAGTTCAAAGCCAGTCTGGGAAGAACAAATTGAGAAACTTATCTCCAATTAACCAGCCAAAAGCTGGAAGTAGAGGTGTGGCTGATGTTGTAGGGTGCAAGCTTTAAACAGGGGGTGGGGAACCTAAGCAAGAGCATGAAGCCTTAGTACTGGCACAAGAAAAATTGCTGGAGTCCAGAGTATTAGAGTAAAAGGACAATGGCCAGAATAAGAAAGGGATGCTTGGAGACAGACAATGCAGAGAAACAGAGTTGCTAGAGAAATAAACTGAGGGGTGGGAATGTGGCTTAATGGTAGTGTGCTTGCCTAGCATGCATGAAACCCTGGGTTCGATTCCTCAGTACCACATAAACAGAAAAAAACTGGAAGTGGCACTGTGGCTCAAAGGACAGAGCGCTCCAGGACAGTGCCCAAGCCCTGAGTTCAAGCCACAGGACTGGCAAAAAAAAAAGATAAACAGACTGAGTGGGAAAGATCCTAAAAAGGAAAAGAAAATAGAATGGCCAAGAGATACCCAAGGGGACGGAGGGGGTACAGAGACTTCCTGGGATGCTCCAGGAACATAAGTGAGAGTGGTACACAATGGTAAATTCATGCAAACAGAACAATGAAGGTGAGGCCCAGAAAAAGAGAAACTATCCACTGGCTGAGAGCGGCTTATAGGTGCCCCAATATCAAAAACACACCATAGACAAAGACAGTTGCATAGAGAGTTGGACATGTGGAGATGAAGCCTTACTTCTCTGAGACAGCACACACCAGAACAGATGGCCCTCTTGTTCCCTACATTTCTGGAAGTCCACCTTCTGTTGGATCATGTCTGCAAGACCGTACATGGTGTATTTCTGCAGGCCCGTTGTGGGTGGGAGGTGAGGGGTCCCATCTAGAGAGCATGCATGCTCATAAAACAAAACAAAACAAAACAAAAAAGAACTGGAGAGAGCTAGAAAGGCCCTGTAGGGACTTACTTGGTCAGGGAGTGGGGTATGAAGGCAGGAAGCCAGGCTCTATTTTTGGTTTGTCCCTGACCTGGTCACTGCCGTTGCCAGGACCTCCCTCACACAGGCAGGCCTGAATGTTCCTGAGGGTTCTTTCTGTCCTGAGCCATCTGCTGCTACTTTGTAGGCCTTCCCAATGTTGGCAAAAGCAGTCTGATCAATAGTCTGAAGCGCAGCCGTGCATGCAGTGTGGGAGCTGTTCCTGGGATCACCAAGTAAGCACCTGCCTGTTCTTCCACTCTATAACGACTTCGTGTTACTGCTATTCCCAAATCCCATGCCTTCAATCTCCTGTCCATATCCTAGTTTTGGATATGGGCATTCATGGTGAGTTCTTAGGTGAGTTCCTGGCTCCCTGATGGGTGCTTTCTCATTAGCTGCTTGAAGCCTCCTAACCACTGCAAGCTTAGATTCCTCATGAATAGCTTGTATAGCCCAGATGAAGCAGTTGACAACCAGAGAATCAGAAACTTGCCCTAAATCCTGCATCTCAGTCTGCAGTGGCAGAAGTTAGCTCTTAGGATCAGTTGGAGGTTTGAAAGGTTGTAAAACCTATTGTTCCTATATCTTTCTATCTCACCTCTAAGTTTCCCACCCCAACTCCTCTGCCTTCCCTCAACCTACCTACAACCAATCTTTGGGACTTGATGCCAGACACAGCCAAACTACCTTTTACCCCAGATTTATGCAGGAGGTTCACCTGGACAAGTTCATCAGACTGCTGGATGCTCCAGGCATCGTCCCAGGACCCAACTCAGAGGTGGGCACCATCCTGCGCAATTGCATCCAGGTGCAGAAGCTGGCCGACCCTGTGACTCCAGTGGAAACCATCCTGCAGCGCTGCAACCTGGAGGAGGTACACAGAAGAGCTTCTGGTGTACCCCCAATCTCTCTTTTTTTGTCTGGGGCTTGAACTCAAGGCCTGGGTACTGTCCTGGAGCTTTTGGGCTCAAAGCTAGTGCTCTAACACTTGAGCCCAGCTCTACTTCTGGCATTTTTTTGCTGGTTAATTCAAGACACGAGTTTTAAGGACTTCCCTGCCTGGGATGGCTTCAAATTGTGATCTTTAGATCTCAGCCTCCTGAGTAGATAGACTACAAGCATGAGCCATTGGCACCTAACTGAACCTCCAACCTTTTTTCTTTTTACAAGTCATCGGGCTTGAATTCATTCAGGGCCTGGGCACTTTCCCCGAGCTTCTTTTGCTCAAGGCTAGCACTCTACCATTTGAGCCACAGTGCCACTTACAGCTTTTTCTGTTTATATGGTACTGAGGAATCAAATCCAGGGCTTCATGCATGCTAGGCAAGCACTCTACCACCGAGCCACATTCCCACCTTCTGAACCTCCAATCTTAACTGCTCCCCTGGCACTCCACTTTTTTTCTTTTCCCCTTTTTGGTGGTTGAACTCAAGGGCCTCATCCCTGCTGCACAAGTGCTCTACCACTTGAGCCCTGTCTGTACTCTTTTGCTTTTAGTTTTTTCGCGTAGGGTCTTTTGCCCAGGTTGATGTTGCATTGGCAGGCTACCTCTGTCTCCTGAGTAACTGGGATTACATATATGTACCACCATGCTCAGCTTCTTTTTCAGCTTTTTTTTTTTTTTGGTCAGTCATAGCTAGGCTTGAACTCTGGGCCTGAGTGCTGTCCCTGCGCTCTTCAGCTCATGGCTAGCAGTCTGCCACTTGAGCCACAGCCCTACTTCCGGTTTTCTGGTGGTTTATTGGACATAAGAGTTACATGGCCTTTCCTGCCCCGGCTGGCTTTGAACATGATCCTTAGATTTCAGCCTCTTGAGTAGCTAGGATTATAGGTGTGAGCCACCAGCACCTGGCTCAGCTTCTTTTTGAGGTAGAGTTTCTCTAACTTTGCTGTTCTGGATTTGAATCATGATCCTCCATTGTCTACTACCTGAGTAGTTGGGAATACAGGTGTGTGTCATCATGCTTACCAGCACTCTGCTCTTCAGTGTGACTTCTCACCTTCCTTTCACCAGATCTCCAACCATTATGGAGTCTCAGGATTCCAAACCACTGAGCACTTTCTGACTGCTGTGGCCCACCGTTTGGGGAAGAAGAAGAAGGGAGGCATATACAGTCAGGAACAGGCAGCTAAAGCTGTCCTTGCTGACTGGGTGAGGTGAGGAGTAGCTAAACATGAGGCTTGTTGGGAGTCTGCCTATTATGGCTCATCTGTGTTCATTGTAGCTCAAAGTGTAACCTGATTTTCTGAGTCCCAGGGTAGGGGACAGAATTATGGCATGTTTTGCTCTGGATTTTATGCCCAGTGCCATCTGGGTTTTCTTTTTTTTTGTCGGTTGTGGGGCTTGAACTCTGGGCTTGGGCCCTGTCCCTGCGCTCTTCAGCTCAAGGAGAGTGCTCTACTGCTTGAGCCACAGCACCACTTCCCATTTTATTGGTTTATTGGAGATAAGAGTCTCACGGACTTTCCTGCCTGGGCTGGCTTTGAACTGAGATCCTCAGATCTCAGCCTCCTGAGTAGCTAGGATTACAGCCATGAGCCACTGGCGCCAGCTTGGGTTTTCTTATCTGTCTGGTTTTTGGCTTGCAAACCTATTCTCTTTTTGATTGGTCATTTGTTCTCTCAATGACCTCACCACAAATCTCCCCTCCTCTTCCAATGCAGTGGGAAGATCAGTTTCTATATACCACCACCACCCACTCACACTCTGCCTGCCCATCTCAGTGCTGAGATTGTTAAGGAGATGACTGAAGTCTTTGACATTGAGGATACTGAACATGCCAATGAAGACACCATGGAATGTAAGTATGGGTGGGTGGAGGAACTTGCTTTTGTTTTAGACCTGATAATAGAGCCCACTTTTTTTTTTATTTTAATTTAATTTTATTTGTGAACATACTGTACAGAGGGGTTACAATTACATGGGCAGGATAATTCGTACATTTCTTACCAAGCATTGCAGCCTCCTCCTTTGTTTACCCTTCACCTCCCTTCCCAGCCTCCCCCCTCCCCCCCCAATCCCAATCCTTCTTCTTCCCCCCCTTCCCCCCTAGAGCCCACTTTTTTATCTCCCCTTTCTTGAGCTTTTTATTAGACTAACTAATTCAAAGCTTAATTTAGGGGCTGGGAAGGTGGCTCAGTGGTAGAGCGCTTGCCTTGCATGCAAGAGGCCTTGGGTTTGATTCCTCAGTACCACATAAGCAAAAAGCCGGAAGTGGCGCTGTGGCTCAAGTGGTAGAGTGCTAGCCTTGAGCTGAAGAGCTGAGGGACAGCACCCAGGCCCAGAGTTCAGGCCCCACGACCGGACCCAAAAAAAAAAAAAGCTTAATTTAATTTCCTTCAAGATAGAGAATTCTAATTTGGGCCATGGGGTTATTTGTTCATGGGATTACTTGATGGTTGTGAGCTTTTGGTAAATAAGAAGGAATTGGTAAATATCTGGTATGGCTTAAGGTGCTCCAGAAAGAGGAGCCTCCATCACTGTTTCTGTCTCAAAAAACAAGCAAATAGCCAACCACCAGTGGTTCCTATCTGTGATCTTAGCTGCTCAGGAGGATGAGATCTGAGAATTGTGGTTTGCAGCCAGCCCAGCTGCTTATCTCCATTTAACTAGCAAAAATAAGCTGGAAGTGGAACAGCTGTGGCTCAAGTGGTCGAGTGCTAACCTTGAGAAAAAAGAGCTTAGCAACAGCATCCAGGCCCTGATTTCAAGCCCCAGCACTGATGGGGGAGCACACACAGACACACACAAAACCAAGCAAGGAAAAATATTCTCTCTACTGTTGTCCTAGACTTTCAGAGCTATTTCAAATGTATTCCTAGATTTTCCTTCATGTTAATTTTTTGTGTGTGCCAGTTTGATGGCTTGAACCCAGACCCTAAGCACTGTCCCTTAGATTTTCCACTCAAAGCTGGCGCTTTACCACTTGAGCCACATCTCCTCCACTCTCACAGATTGTCCTTTTTATTCCCATTGGTCAAAAGATATATAAATAGCCAGGCTCCGGTGGCTCACACCTATAATCCTAGCTACTCAAGAGGCTGAGATCTTAAGATCATGGTTCAAAGTCAGCATGGGCAGGAAAGTCTGTGATACTTTTTTTTGGTCTCTCTCTCTCTCTCTCTCTCTCTCTCTCTCTCTCTTTCTTTACCAGTCCTAGTGCTTTAGCTCAGAGCCTGAGCACTGTCCCTGAGCCTCTTTGTGCTCAATTAGCACTCTACCATTTGAAGCATTTCCAGCTTTTTCTGAGTAGTTTATTGGAGATTAGAATTTCATGGATTTTTCTGCCTGGGCTGGCTTTGAATTGTGATCCTTAGATCTCAGCCTCCTGAGTAGTTAGGATTACAGGCATGATCCTCTGGCACCTGATCCCTTGCTGAATTCTAATTTCTGCTTCTGTCTGGTGGACAGTTGAGAGGAGTTGAGCTCAGATTCTACAGATGATGCTCCAAGCTACTGGATATAAAGAGAAGAGTGGCTCCATCACTGCGAATTGCTTTTTTGACTCTGTGTTGGTCCTGGGGTTTGAGCTTTTCTGCTCAAGGCTAGCACTCTGTTGCTTGAGACACAGTTCCATTTCCAGCTTTTTGGTGGCTAATTGGCAATAAATGTCTCATAGACTTTCCTGCCCAGGCTGGCTTTGAACTGTAATCCTAAAATCTCAGCCTCCTGCATAGCTAAGATTATAGGCATGAGCCACTGGCACTTGACCAAACCCATGCTTTTAATCCTTTGTCATGTAACCTTGAAGCAAGAACAAAAGTCCCCCCCACACACATGTAGCCCATATGACTTCTCTCATATGTCTTCCTTTTTGCTGAGACATGACTGATTAGGGTATTGCAGCAGGGAGGAGTCAGCTTCCTGACAAAGTGTTGTGTTAAAGGCTTGGACACCAGAGAACAATGGTGTTGCTTGTGTTACAGGTTTGGCCACTGGAGAATCCGATGAGCTGTTGGGTGATATAGACCCACTTGAAATGGATGTCAAGTGGCTTCATTCTCCAATGGTGAAAATAGCAGATGCTATTGAAAATAAAACCACTGTTTATAAGGTACCTGTTTGCTTCTTCTTGGCAGCCCTTTCCTGTACTCAGGGTTCTAGAAAGAAGTCGGTCCCTTCCACTTTACCCCCACCAGGAGTGATTAGTTCCCATACTCCTTGCTAGCTTCTGGGTGGTTGAATATATCTTTTGTCAAATAATGGCAGGTCCAAGGAGGATCTTTTAGTTTAGCAGCTTCCCAGCCCTGGTTCTGGCCCATAGAACCAGTATCAGTCTAGTCATGTTCAAGTTCCAGATAACTTATCCTTTTCCTGACTGGTATGCAAGACTCCATATTATTAGTCACTAAGTCCTGTGGCTTCTCCCTCCTGAATCTCTTGAGAAGCTGTCATATGTGTGTGTGGGTGTGTGTACACGTGTGTACGTACTGGTCCTAGGATGTGAACTCAAGGCCTGGGTGCTTTCCCTGAACTGTTTTTTGCTTAAGGCTAGTGAGTGCTCTACCACTTGAGCCACAGCTCCACTTCTGGCTTTTTGGTAGTTAATTGGAGATCTTAAGGACTTTTCCTGCCCACTTTGGCTTCAAACTTTGATCCTCAGATCTCAGCTTCCTGAGTGGCTAGGATTACCTCAAGAAACTGTAATTTTCTTATCAACCATACCATTACCACAATCCTAGGATGAGCTTCCAGTACGCAGCTCACCTGGACAACTTGTCCCATGTTTTCTGATGACTGGGATTCGAACTCAGGGCCTCATACTTCCTATGGAGGTGCTCAACCAATTAATCCATGCCTCCAGTATTTTTTTGCTTTATTTTTCTGGTAGGATCTTGTGGGTTTTTTTCTTTTTGTTGGGGCTGGTATTTGACTGCAATTCTCCTATCTCTATTTCCTGTGTAGCTGAGATTATAGCCATATACCACTATGCCTGGCTTGGTTTTTTTTGTTTTGTTTTATTTTGGGTCTGGTCATGGGGCCTGAACTCTGGGCCTGGGTGCTGTCCCTCAGCTCTTCAGCTCAAGGCTAGCACTCTACCACTTGAGTCACAGCACCACTTCCAGCTTTTTTTTTTTGCTTATGTGGTGCTGTGGAATCAAACCCAGGGCCTCATGCATGCAAGGCAAGAGCTCTACCACTGAGCCACCTTCCCAGCCCCTGGCTTGTTTTTTGAGATAGGAGTCTCATTAACTTTTTGCTTGGTCTGGTTTAGAACCACATTCATCCTGGTCTGTACCTCTCAAGGAATTCAGATTACGGTCATGAGCCTGAGCCAAACTGTGCCCAGCTATCCCATAGAGTCTTTTTTTGGTATCAGTACTATGACTTGTATTCAGGGTCTTGAGCTCTTGCTCAACTTTTTTGCTCATGGCTAGCACTCTAGTACTTGAGTCAAGTCTCCGTTATGATATTTTGCTGGTTAATTAGAGATATTTAGAGTGTGCCTGGACTGACTTGAACTCTGATCTTCCAGTGACTTACTCAGCCTCCTGATTAGCTAGGATTATAGGTATAAACCACTGGCATCCAGCTTGTCCCAGGTTTGTTTGTTTTTTTGCCGGTGGTGGGGCCAGAACTCTGGGCCTAGGCACTGTCCCTCAGCTCTTTAGCTCAAGGCTAGCACTCTACCACTTGAGCCACAGCACCACTTCTGGCTTTTTGTGCTTATGTGGTGCTGAGGAATCAAACCCAGGGCCTCATGCATGCAAGGCAAGCACTCTACCACTGAGCCACCTTCCCAGCCCCCCATAATTTCTTTTTTGTGTGCCAGTCCTGGGTCTTGAACTCAGGGCCTGGGTACTGTCCCTGAGTTTTTGTGCTCAAGGCTAGCACTCTACCACTTGAGCCACAGCTCTACTTTTAGCTTTTTGTTTTTTAATTAGAGAGAAGAAACTCATGGACTTAACTTTTCTTGGCTAGCTTTGAACCATGATCTTTATATGTCAGCCTCTTGAGTAGCTAGAATTATAGCCTTGAGCCGCCAGTGCCAAGCATGCCTATTTATTTTTAAATAAACATTTCAAAAGGACTAATGAGTATACAGTGAAAATGTAAATCTCCCTCTACTTCTGTCTCCCAACTACTCTGTTCTCTTTCACTATTTGCAGACATTTGGATGTACTTTGGAGTGATATTGTGGACATTTAAACATAACATCCCTGTTTATATAAACACATAAGCAGCTGCAGAAAAAATGTTGAGTATTTTTTTTGAATGGGACCTGCTAGAATGGAATCCAAGGACTTGAACCTTTTATTTCATTTTAGTTTTTATTTATTTATTTATTTTTTTGTTGGTCGTGGGGCTTGAACTCTGGGCTTGGGTGCTGTCCTTGCGCTCTTCAGCTCAAGGCGAGCGCTCTACCACTTGAGCCATAGCACCACTTCCGGTTTTCTAGTGGTTTATTAGAGATAAGAGTCTCACAGACTTTCCCGTGTGGGCTGGCCTTGAACCTCTATCCTCAGATCTCAGCTTCCTGAGTAGCTAGGATTACAGGCATGAGCCACCGGCGCCCGGCTCATTTTAGTTTTTTGAAGGTATAATTTTTCCAGCTTTTTATTCCTTTAACATCTTAATAAAAGATTGCCCCAGATTTTTAAATAGACGTTTGAAAATATAGCTTTATATTATTGTTTTTGTTTTGTGTGCTCACATCTTTGCTTTCTTTTTCCACTCAAAGTTGACATTCTACCACTTGAGCCCCCAGGTCTACTTCTGCCTTTTTTCTGGTTAATTGGAGAGGGGAGTCTTGCAGACTTTTCTTCCTAGGTTGACAGATCCTCAGATCTCAGCCTCATGAGTAGCTAGGAATACAGGTTTTATTTACCTTATCTGGCTTAGTGTTATATTGTTGTTGTTGTCTTGGGCACTATCTCTGAGCTTTCGTGCTCAAAGCTAGGGCTATGCCACTTGAGCCATAGCTCTACTTCTGGATTTTTGTGGTTGATTAGAGATAAAAGTGTCATGGATTTTTCTGTCTGGCATGGCTTTGAACCGTTATCCTCAGATCTCAGCCTCTTGAATAGCTAGGATTATAGGCACGAGCCACTGGCACCCACTGAACTATTTTTTAAATGCATTTTTTAAAAGCCTGACAAGTAATTTCTTTATTTTTTGCACATACTGCAGTTTGAACACAAGGCCTCACAATCTTGCTTACATCTTTCACTTTGCCACTTTAGCTATGCTCTGATCTAGATGGGAGTCTCATAGACTAATGTCCCAGGCTAGTTTGGAAATGTGTTCCTTCAGGTCTTATCCTCTTGACTAGTTAGGATTGCAAATATGAGTCACCAGTTCCCAGCGCAGGTAAATATTTTAATTAAATTAGCAGCAGGCTATTCAAATTGTTCCACATTTTATTTCACCTACAAATTCATCTTGGAGATTATTCTGTGTGATTACTTGAAGAGTTGTCCTTTGTTTTTGGTGGCTAGATAATATCTGGGATTGTTTCCTAAGCTAGGAAGAGAGAAGGTCAAGCTTGTATATTAGAACAATTACTCAGAAGAAAGGTACTGGAACGGGGGCAGGGAGTCCAGGAAGGAAACTGGCCTCTACTCAGTCCTTAAAAGAAGATAGTCATTGAACTTGGGCAGTGGCAAGAATTATATTATTCCTGTCCTTATATAGTTTTGGAGATTTCCCTATTGCTTAAAGAGAAACCCCATTTAAAGTTATCTTCAAAGCGAATATTTTTACTGAGCCCATATTTCTCAGAAACATGTAAGTAGTTCTCTTTTTTTACTACAAGTTCCTGGCTCTTTCCAGGGCCCTCAGCAAGGCCACCACATGATACAACTCCAAGAGACTTTATTTAGGTTTCCTGTCTTGTGAATGGTGCCGCTGCCACCAACTACAGAGTTGTAGCTTTGCTCTGACCCACCTACCTTGCATGCCTTTTCCCTTCTCTAGTATAGTAGGTGGTCTGGAAGCAGACTTCTTGGGTTCTAATTTATTTCACAGCTGGCTTAGCTATGTGATCACACATATCTTGTTTATCATAGCATTGTGTGTGTGTGTGTGTGTGTGTGTGTGTGTGCGCGCGTGCGCGCGCACATGTGTGCTGATACTGGGGCTTTAACTTAGAGACTGGGTGCTATCCCTTAGCTTTTTTTTTCCCATTCAAAGTTAGTGCTCTGCCACTTGATCCACACCACCACTTCTGGCCTTCTGCTGGTTTATTGGAGACAAGAATCTTAGAGACTTTCCTACCCCAGCTGGCTTTGAGCCATGATCTTCAGATTTCCCTGAGCCATGATCTTCAGATTTCAGTCACTAGAATTACATCTATGAACCACTGGTGCTTAGCCTGTCATATCATCCTTAGAAGAATTAAATTAATACATGTGTACAAAGGAGTTTATACAGTCACATTATGCTTAGCAATAGGGATTTTGATCTGAGAGATGAATTGTTAGATGATTTTGTTGCTGTATCAATATCCTAGAGTATACTTACACAAAATAAGACAAGTTATAGAAGGCAGTATCTTTCATGATACTGCCATGTAGTTCATTGTTGCCTGAATCATGTTTATGTGGTACATGTCAGTATATATGTACCTGTGGGTGTATATGCTTAGAGAATAATAAGCTTTCTGTATTTTTCCAGTGTTTAGTCAGGTGTACCTGTCTCTATCAGTGGTATGTTGACCACCACCATCGCCTCTAGCCTCTCAGTCACCAATTCTTTGTAATGGGCAGACAACATACATCTGATTTGTGAGATAGATTGCTATATACTCCTTGTCTAGATTGCTTCCTGAACATGAAGCTGAGTCTGGCTCATTTCTCTGTCTCCAGCATTACCCCACCCAGGGCTGAGCATAAAATAGGTGTCAAGTGGAGCTGTTGCTCAAGTGGTAGAGTGCTAGCCTGAGCACAAAAGCTCAGGGACAGCACCTAGGCCCTGAGTTGAAGCCCCAGTACCTGCACCCCTAAAGACCTTAAAGCAAAGAGTCATTATAATACCAATTATCATTAATAGAGTCATCCTCCTTTTAAGTTGTATTCTTGCAGAACCCGTGTCAACTACCCATGATCCACCTCATTTGATGAGTGGCAGATTCAGACTGAGGCTACCTAAGCAGCTGGAGAGCCCAAATTGAAACTGAGTTTTCAATGGCCCCAGGACTTTTCTTCCTACCAAAGCCTGTCCATGCCTCTCTGTAGAAGTTTTTGGAGATTTTCTAGAGGTCAGGATTTCAACATTATATTCTTCCTCCCCAGATTGGTGACCTCACTGGCTATTGTACCAATCCAAACCGTCATCAGATAGGATGGGCTAAACGTAATGTGGACCAGTATGGCACCAGGAACAATGGTGTGATACACGTACGCTCAGTGGACCGCCGCCCAATGCTACAGAGAATCATGGAGACAGACCCTCTGCAACAGGGCCAGGCTCTGGCATCTGCCCTGAAGAATAAGAAGAAAATGCAGAAGCGTACAGGTGGGATTACGTGACCCCCCCCTGTGCCTGTCTGGGTTTGGATTAGAGGGCTCCTCAGTGAGCATCTATGTGTCCAATTCCATGCTAGGGATGGGTTAGAAGGCTCAATTACTCACACCAGGCTCTCAAGCTGTAGATTTCATCAAAATCATGTAAAGAGTTTGTTGAGTATCAGATTTCAAGGACCAAGTATGTAGCTCAGTGGTAAGAGGACCCTTCATAATATCAGTGAGGACATAGCAGTATATTTTAAAATTAATAACTCTATAAAATACAAAAATCACAGCAAAAACCCTATGAATTTCTGGAGACCACAGTTGGATAACCACAGGCCTAGTCTATATATAGTATAGTGACAGCCAGGTGCTGGTGGCTCACGCCTGTAATCCTACCTACTCAGGAGACTGAGATCTGAGGATCGCAGTTCAAAGCCAGCCCTGGCAGGAAAGTCCATGAAACTCTTTTTTTTTTTTTTTTGGGTCCGGTCGTGGGGCCTGAACTCTGGGCCTGGGCGCTGTCCCTCAGCTCTTCAGCTCAAGGCTAGCACTCTACCACTTGAGCCACAGCGCCACTTCCGGCTTTTTTCTTTTTGCTTATGTGGTGCTGAGGAATCGAACCCAGGGCCTCGAGCATGCAAGGCAAGCGCTCTACCACTGAGCCAACTTCCCAGCCCTCCATGAAACTCTTATCTCCAATAAACCACCAGAAAACCGGAAGTGGTGCTATAGCTCAAGTGGTAGAGCGCTAGCTAGCCTTGAGCTGAAGAGCTGAGGGACAGCGCTCAGGCCTAGAGTTTAAGCCCCATGACCGACCAAAAAAAAAAATAATAGTGTCACTTATCCGGTGATTTCTATGTGTTAGGTAGTTTGCAGGCTATGTATAACTTTTTTTTGCCCCAGTCCTGGGGCTTGATCTCAGGGACTGGGCGATATTCCTGGGCCTTTTTGTTCAAGGCTAGTGTTATGCTACTTGAACCACAGCTTCATTTCTGGCTTTTTGGTGGCTAATTGGAGATAAGAGTCTCACAGACTCTGCTGCCCAGGCTGGCTTCATGCAGCATATAATGAGCCCTCCATATCTGTTGCTTCTGTACTCATACACTCTACCAACAGTAAATTAAAAATATTTGAGAAAAGGATCCAGGTGACAGTGGCTCATGCCTATGATCATAGCTACTCAGGAGTTCAGAGGATCTTATTTCAAAGCCACCTTGGGCAGAAAAGTCTTATGAGATTCTTACCTCCAGTTAATCAACCAAAAGCCACAAGTGGAGGTTTGGCTCTAGTGGTAGAGTCAGCCTTGAGTGCAAAAGCTAAAGGGGAAGTCCCTGGCCCTTAGTACAGGTGTTAGCACCAACAAAAAGGAAAATTGAAAAAGATTACTTGGTACTGAACACATATAGACTCTGCTTGTTTTCATGGTTCCCCAAACAACACAATATGACAACTATTTACATTGTATTAGGTATTTAAGTAACCTTGAGGTGAATACAGGAGAACACAAGTAGGTATATGCAAATACTACACCATTGTATACTAAATCAGTGGACTTATTTTTCCCCAAATATCCCATGGATTCCGAAGGCTAACTGTATGTATCTTCACTCATTGTTATATTCAGTGTTATACTCATTTTGGTCAGTGAGTAAACAGGCATGCAGGTGGTAAGTCATATATTCCAAGATTGCAGGCATTAAGCCACATATTCATATTAGTATTTGATGGCAGACAAAATGCAAACCTAGGTAGGGTTGATTGATCCTGTAAGCTTTATTTGTGTTTTTTTGTTTGTTTGTTTTGGTGTTGTGCTACAATTTGAACTCAGGGCCTCGCAGTGTCCCTGAGCTTTTTCAGTGCAGGGCTAGAGCTCTACCAATTGAGCCACAGCACCACTTCCAGCTTTTTGGTGATTAATTGAGGATAAGGGTCTTGTAGATTTTCTTGCCCCAGCTGGCTTCAAACTGTCATCCTTAGATCTTAGCCTCCTGAGTAGCTAGGATTATAGGTGGGATCCCTGCTAGTCCCTTAGCTTTTTCACTCAAGTCTGGTGTTCTACCAATTTAACTACACTTCCAATTCTGGCTTTTTGGTGGTTAGTTGGAGATAAGAATGTCTTGGGAGTTTCCGCTTAGGCTAGCTTCAAACCAGGATTCCTTGATCTCATCCCCCTCAGTAGCTAGGATTATAGGCATGGTCCATTGACACCTGGCTAGCCCTATTCTTTTAATTAGGCCATATTTCATAATCAAGCATTCACTTATGGCCATAAGTCTCAGGAATCCAGAGATGAATTGCCCTTGAACTCCTAGTCTCTTGTTAGGAAGTAGAATGGAGATAAAAGACATTGATAGGTCCCATGATCACTCTGAAACATAGCAAGCACTGTGAGGGACTTTAACTCACAGTGGTGAGTGGTGGTTGGGTGGAAGTAATCATAGGCTTCCTGGTGGAAGTGAAGACTCAGAATCCTAATGAACAGGAGGTGTGTCTGTAGGATGGGAGGTTTGAATGGTGATCAGGGAGCCTCCAAGCTGGTACTACTGAGCTGCAACTTTTGTTATGAAAGGTTTGAGGTGTAATGGTGGAGTGCTAAGTTTATATAATAGAGGGAAAATGCTGTTACTGAGTGCTGGTGGCTCACACCTATAATCCTAGCTACTCAGGAGGCTGAGATTTGAGGATTGAGTTCAAAGCCATCCTGGGCAGACAAACCCAAGAGACTCATCTACTTATCCAGCAAAAAGTCAGAACTGGAGGTGTGGCTCCACCAGTGTAACATCAGGATTAAGCAGAAAATTTAAGCAAGAACATGATGCCCTGAGTTCAAGCCCCTGTAGTCACATGCGTGTGTGTGTGTGTGTGTGTGTGTGTGCGTGCGCGTGCGTGCGCGCGCACGCAGGCACGCATACACACACACAAAAACTGCTGGGTTTTTCTGTTGTTATTTGGAAGACAGAAAAATACTTCAAGCCTCATAGTATGAAACCCTGACATAGAAGCTCTGATGGAGTGATACTTCACAGAGAAATGGATGTTCCTGTGAGGTTGGACTGTGGTTTGTTTGTTTGTTTTTGTCGGTCGTGGGGCCTGAACTCAGGGCTTGAGTGCTGTCCCAGTGCTCTTCAGCTCAAGGAGATTTTTAAAAAATTATTTTTATTGTCAAGGTTATGCACAGAGTGTTTACAGCTATATAAGTAAGGTGATAAGTACATTTCTTGTTGAACTTGTTACGCCCTCTGAGATTCTTTTTCTCAAGGCTAGTGCTCTGCTACTTGATCCGCAGCACTATTTCCAGCTTTTTCTGAGTAGTTTATTAGAGATACTATCATGGACTTCCCTGCCCAGACTGGCTTTAAACTTCACATCCTGAGATCTCAGCCTCCTGAGTAGCTAGGATTACAGACTCCAGCCACCCGTGCCTTGCCAGTTTTGTCTTTTTGTTGATTAATTAGCTATAAGAATCTCATGACTGGGGCTGGGAAGGTGGTTCAGTGGTACAGCGCTTGCCTTGCATGCCTGAGGCCCTGGGCTTGATTCCTCAGCACCACATAAGCAAAAAGAAAAAAGCCGGAAGTGGCGCTGTGGCTCAAGTGGTAGAGCGCTAGCCTTGAGCTGAAGAGCTGAGGGGCAGCGCCCAAGCCCAGAGTTCAGGCCCCATGACCGGACCGCAAGAAAGAAAAATAAAAAAGAATCTCATGACTTACCTGTTCCAGCTGGCTTTCAACCATGATCCTCTGCAGATCTCAGCCTCCTAAGTAGCAAGAATTACAGGAGAAATCCACAAGGACATAGCTAACAGTTGTTTTATTAAGTAATAAATATTTTAGGAGTATTTGAGCCATGTTGTGCAAGCGAAGCCAGATACAGACCAGCTGTGACAGGCCTTCTACTGGCAAGCCAGTCACCAAAAGATTGCCTGTATTTCTTCCTCTGCAGATAAAATCGCCAGCAAGCTGTCTGATTCTATGATGACAGCCCTCGACCTTTCTGGGAATGGTGATGACAGTGCTGGAGATTGATCTGATGATGTTCCTCCCCTCCTCTCCAAACTTGGATTCCTGTGGGATGGGAGATAATTGGTTCTCCTAGAAGTACCTGTATATTGAAAGAATACCTTTATACCCTTTATCTCCTCCCCGCATGGTTCCCTCCTTTCTCTCTGGTAAAAAGAGTCCCAAGGGACTAGAGCTGCCAAATCCAATACCCTGTATTTAATCCCTACTCTTTTCCAAGAGGCATTAAATATCAACAGAAACTAGGTGCCAACAATATATTTCCCATCTCCTATCCCAGGGTCTCAACTCTGTAGTTTGAACTGATATGAGGGCTTACTTCCCACCAAACGGTGTTGGACAGCTGAATATACAAGTAACTAGAGGTTAGACTGCTGGTTGTCCTGGACATCCCCAGAAGAAGGGTGATTTTTTTTTTTTTTTACCATTCCACAAGGGATTTGAACAGGAAGTAATTCCTTGAGTTGGCTCTCAGCCATTTATCTTGTTCCTAAGTCTACAGGTCTCACCTGGGTGATAAGTGGGGATTAGGTGCATCAGTGATGAATCTTCTGTCTCTGGAAGGGTCTGGAGAGTGGTGAAGTGTTATAGACCTTACTTTGTTGTTGTTGTTGTTGACAAGAAAAAGGCACCTATTGGTGGGACACTGGATGCCTTAAGAACAAGTCCAATCTTGTCACTTGTGTACTTTTGGAGGAATCACTTTAATTCAAGTGATTCACTTGGCCACACTTTTGTGTGACCTTGTCTCATGCAGTGCCATCTTTTGAATGCCATGATTCAAGAGGGTTCTGGTAACCTTTATTCAGAGTGGTCCTCAAGAAAGCTGCTACAGGTGGGAATGTATGAGCCAACTCTACCCCGTGCCTGGAAGCCACTCCATTACAGCATAATTAACACCTTTGGGGCATCCTTAACCCTATCAGGAAAGCACCTGGGACCCTGGGTTAGCTTTTTATCACTACAGCAAAATTCCTGATTGCCTACAGTGTTTTGGCCCTGTAGTAAGGTTTCATGTTGCAATAGGTACTTGTGGTAAAGCAAAACATCTCATGGTCAAGAAGCAAAAAAGGAAGAGGAGTTTGGGAGGGTGTCCCACAATCCCTTTGGAGAGGGTCTTCCATCAAGCCCCACCTGATGGGAGTTTCCTTTCCCTTCCAATGGCGCCACCCTGTGACCAACCTTTAACACGCAGGCTTTTGAGTAATAGGTGGGATCCACCCAAACAAGGCCACAGAGATGATTTCAGTGGTATTCCAAAAAAAACCTGTTTCTAATGGAGTTTTGGTTCATGTATACAGCTTCAGTTCCTGAAGTTCTACTTGAGCTGACACTTTGGAAGGAGGTGAATATTATATTACTTGTATTATTTGCCACCTTCTCCCAAATACCACAGGGAAATTGGAGTAGTGGATAAACCAGCCTTTGCCCTTGTCAGTCTCAAAGTCCCTACCCCCCTCATTTACATAGGAAGATACTAAAAGGGAGATTGTAATAAGTACTGAAAAGCCATTGGCTGTAGGGTATCCTGAGACCCCTTCTACATTCAGAGGTATCCACAGGAGATGATTATTGATTGAGCACAAACCACTGAGCTCTGAGAATCTATTATTTCCTTTATTGTTTGGTGTCACTATTGGGGCTTGAACACTGGGTCTGGGTGTTGTTCTTGAGCTTTTTTTTTTTTTTTGCTTAAGGCTAGCTTGTCACTTGTTCCACTTCTGCTTTTTTTTGGTGATTAATTGGATATAAGAATTTCATACACTTTGATACCAGGACTGGCTTTGAACTGTGATCTTTAGCTCTCAGCATCCTAAATAGCTAGGGTTACAGGTGTGGGCCACCAGTGGCTGGCTTCTAGTGCCTCCTTGAACCTTTGATAGAGCTCTGCCAGTAATAGATTATGTTCTGAATATTGACAAAATGCGTTTAGATTTGGAACCCAAGTGTAATTAAATTGAAATGCTGTATTTCCTGTGGGTGCGTTGTGCTGCCATCTTAACAAATGGACAAGGATCATTTATCTACAGTGTACCAGACTGTTATGGAGTCTTTTAAATACTTTGATCTTTTTTGGTTTAGAAAAACTAGTATCTTATAAAGCTGTGCTCCCAGAGTCTTCTTCAATGATGTCCAACTTATTTCACACTACCAGTGTCACATTATCAGTAGATAATAATCAGTAGATAAGAATGTCAGATGCCAGGCATTCTACCAATAACATATCAAGTTTTTTTTTCTTCTGTATTTCACTCTCTATCTTATGCTAGCCTTGAACCCATGGTCCTCTTGCCCCTTCCTCCCAAGTACTAGAGTTACAAGTATATGCTACCATTCCTGACTATATCTCAAGTTATTTTTCATTTTTACTCCAATGCTGACAATTGTACATACAAGACAGGCACTCCACCACCAATCTATGCTCCAGCTCTCATGTTTTTACTTATTTTTTTTGTGGCCTTAAGGCCAGTTCATTCCCAATTCCTGTTTGCTTACAAAGTATTTTCTCTTTAAAAAAAATATCAGACGTTACATACAGTAAAGATTACCCTTTAAGTCCTGTGAATTTGGAGACATGTGCAGAAGTATCCCACCATTGTCATTATACAGAATGTTTCCATCACCCCCTCAAACTCTGCATACTTTGGAGTCAGCTCCCACATCCCCCACCCCCAACCCTGCCCCAGTCCTCAGAATATATCCCTATGGTTTGGTTTTGGTGTGGATATTATATAAATAAAATCATGGGTAGGGTTGTTTTAGATCATTAAGTTTTTAATTGTTGATTTTTTTAAGGAATAAAGTCTTGAGTAACCTAGGCTGGCCTTAAACTTAGGAGTCTCCTGCCTCAGGCTCCCCAGTAGCTGAGACTACAGGCATGCAGCTGCAGGCAACTTCAAAACTTTTTTTTTTTTGGCATTACTGGGATTTGACCTTGACTCCTTGTGCTTGCTTAAGCAAAGGTGCCATGTGAGCCACATACCCCCAATACCATTGGCTTTGAAAACTTTTATTTTTAAGTTTGCATCTGAGTAAAATGTGTTGTGTGTAGCCTGTAAGCTTTGATAAATGTATTGAGTCGTGTTAACTACTAACACAAGAACGAAACAGTTCTTCAGCTTTCTCCCAACAGATTTCATTTCCTGCTACTTTATAGTCAAATCCAGTACCCTACACTCTGGCAATGTCTGGTTTGTTCTTGGACCTTAGCATTTGTGTTTTTAAAAATGTTGTGTAAGTGGAATCACACAGTACATAACTTTTTGGGATAACTTGCTGTGAATAATAGATTTGATGTTTATCCATGCTGTTAGGTGTATCAGTAGTTCTTATTTCTGAGCCTTGCTCTATAATGTGGATATACTAAACATTTATTCATTCCCAAGTTGGGGGACGTTTGGATTCTTTCCAGTTTGGGAGCACTGAATAAAACTACCATAAATGTTTTTGACTTTCTGTGTTTTCATTTTACTAGAGTAACTAGTGATGGATTGTTGAGATATATGCCCAATGTATTTTGAGAACCTGCTCAACTGTTTTCAAAGTGGCTATACCAGTTGGCCTATTTGTCCTAATATGACTGGCATATTTCACTTCAAAAGTTCATCTATATTGTAATGCGTGTCATAAATTCCTTTTTTAAAGGCTGAATAGTATTCTCTTGTAAGTATGTCATCTTTTTCAGCTTTCAAGGTATAAATTGACAAATAAAAACTACATATTCAAGGTGTACAGCGTGATGATTTATTTAAAGTTGTGGTGGGAAATAAACCCAAAACTTTATACATGCTAGGAAAGTATTATACACCTGAGACCCAGCCCTATCTTCAATTTGGTGTTTTGATATAGATTCATAACTTCCTAGAAACTATTGAAGTGTTTGCAAAGTTACTCTACCATTGGATGTACTCATCAGGGTATAAAAGTTTCAGTTCCACATTTCCAAGTTTTTTGTTTTTTGTCAGTTGTGGGGCTTGAACTCTAGGCCTAGGTACTGTCCTTCAGCGCTTCAGCTCAAGGCTAGCACTCTACCACTTGAGCCACAGCACCATTTCTGGTTTTCTGAGTGGTTTATTGGAGATAAGAGTCTTACAGTCTTTCCTGCCTGGGCTGGCTTTGAACCACGATTCTCAGATCTCAGCCTCCTGAGTAGCCAGGATTACAGGAGTGAGCCACTGGCGCCAGGCCTCAGTCTTACTTTTTTTTTTTTTTTTTTTTTTTGGTCATGGGGCCAGAACTCTGGGTCTGGGCGCTGTCCCTCAGCTTTCAGCTCAAGGCTAGCACTCTACCACCTGAGCCACAACACCACTTCTGGCTTTTTCTGCTTATGTGGTGCTGAGGAATTGAACCCAGGTCCTCATGCATGCAAGGCAAGCACTCTACCACTGAGCCACCTTCCCTGCCCTCAGCATTACTTTTTCGATGAAACTTTTTTCCCTATTGTATGTTCTTGCCAACTCAGTTAAAAATCCATTGGATGTAGACTTGTGGGTTTATTTGGAGACTTTCTATATTTTTTTCCATTTGTGTATGTTTACTTTTATGTCAGGAACATTGTTTTAATTACTACAATTTTGTAATGTGTTTTGAAATAAGGAAGTATGCTGCTTCTTACTTTACTTTTCTCAGTATTGATTTGACTCTTAGGGTCTTTTGTACCTAAATGAACCTTAGGATTTTTTTTTCTTTTTTCTTTTTTTTTTTTTTTTTGTGAAAAATGCCATTGGAAAGCTGGGCACTGGTGGCTCATGCCTATAATCTCAGCTACTCAGGAGACTTGATATCTATTTATTGTAGTTTGCTCAAAGTCCATGATACTTACTACACCTCCAATTAGCCACCAGCAAGCTGGAAGTGGAGCTGTGACTCAAGTAATAGAGGGCCATCCTTGAGTGAAAAAGCTAAAGGACAGCACCTAGGCCCTGAGTTTAAGCCACAGTACCAACACACACACACATGGATCATTGGAATTTTCATAGAGATTGCAATAAACCTGTATTTTTTCTGAGTTATTTAAAAATAGATGTCAAATTTTATAATGTTTTTCTGTATCTGTTGATATGATTTTTTTCTTTTATTTTGGTCCTGGGGCTTGAACTCAGAGTATGGGTGTTATCTCTGAGCTTTTGTGTTCAATGCTAGTGCTCTACTAGTTGAACCACAGCTCCACTTCTAGCTTTTTGGTGGTTAATTAGAGATAAGATGCTTCTGACTTTTGACTTTCTTGCCTGGGCTGGCTCTGAATTTCAATCCTCAAATCTCAGGCTCCTGAGTTGAGTTGCAAGGATTACAGATGTGAGACACTGGCACTGGCTGATAGGTTTGTTTGTTTGTTTGTTTATTTATTGCTGGTCCTAGAGCTTGAACTCTATCTCTGAGCTTTTTCACTCAAGGCTAGTGTACTACCACTTGAGCCAAGGCTCCACTTTTGGCTTTTTTGTGGTTATTCAATGATAAGGGTTTCATGTACTTTCCTGCCCAGGCTAACTTTGAACCATGATCCTCAGATCTTAGTTAGCCTCCTGAGAAGGTAGGATTAGAGATACGAGTCACCAGCACCCGACAATTCTATTTTTATTTAGACTTTCAAAGTGGTGGATTCCATTGACTGATAGGATTTTTTTTTGCCTGTCGTGGGGCTTGAACTCAGGGACTGGGTGCTGTCCTTAAGCCTCTTTGTGCTCAAGGCTAGTGCTCTGCCACTTGAGCCACAGCCCCATTTTCAGCTTTTTCTGAGTGGTTTTTGGAGATATGAGTCTCAGACTTTTCTGCTCAAGCTGGCTTTGAACCATGATCCTCAGATCTCAGCCTCCTGAGTAGCTCGGATTACAGGTGTAAGCCACTGATGCCCAGCTGACTGGTAAGGTATTATCATCCATGTAAGAATGCTTTAACTTGACTCTTCAAATTTTATTACTGTTATTACTTTGTATGTAAGGATATGGGTCTTGAACTCAGAGCATCGTCCTCTCAATTGGCATTTTCACTCAAGACAGGCACTCTGCCACTTGAATTGCACCCCTAGTCCCTTATTGTGTTTTTTATTAGACCCTTTCCAAAACAAGATAGATGTAACCATGTTTAACTGTGCATTCCTCCTGCTGTTTCCCTCTCTCAGATGGTGGAATATGTGATGGCTTGGACAAGCAGCCAGGGCTTCTATAGTAAGGATGACTTCATGCAGATTACCCTGGCCAGCTTGCCTTTGGGAGTGGACAGGCACTGGCAAGGCCCTGCCCTTTACCATTTTGCAATTGTGTCACAACAACGCTACTTTAAACACCTGAGCCAAACCTCAGTGTAGAGGGACAGACGAGGTCTCTACTGACCATGTCCTACTCCATCCTGTCATCCTCTTTCCCACCCCACACTCTAGAGCAGAACTTTCCAAATCCATCTGCACTTGTACATGTACACAGTTTTTTAGTTGTTTAAATCACAATTGGGAGCTGGGTGCTGCTGAGTAGATTACAATCTGGGGATTGCAGTTAAGCCAGCCAGGGCACACAAATCCTGTAGTCTCTTGCATCTGGTTGCCCAGTGCCTACTAAGTTCATGTTGGCATGAGGCTGGGAGGTCAGCCCTTTACCCATAATGCCTCATGATTACTCCATGGGATAGACAGAGGATACTGAGGCTCCAGGGTGTAAAATAACCCACTTGTCAGAGCCCAGGTCTGCCTGACATCCACTTGAT